ATTTTTTTGTTTTCTTCGTATTTATTTGTGTTCTTGATCTGACTTCATAACATGTGAAGTAGAATATCATTTTGCATTCTATATCTTGCTTTCAGGGGAGTACATTATCTCAATCACAAGAAAGAAGGAAAAACATGAAATTTCATGTACAAAAGGCATGGAGAGTTGTCCACAGATGATGTCATCAAATTGAATACCGCCCTCTAGTGACTAGTAATTAAAAAAAGCTCTTACTTCCTTATTCCTTGCCCGATTTTGTTCAAATTTTCACTGATATTTTTCAAATATCTTAAACTTTACAATAAAAGTAACTTAGTATGAAGGTTTTGGTTTCCTTTAACTGGAAAAGTTGTAGAAATCAACAATAATTGTGAGCTCCAAGTAGTTTTTCAATAACTGATTGATTTTTGTATCTTTAAGGAATGTATTATTATTATCATTATTGTTATGATTATGTTTTGTTAGGGGGATAGAAGGGGGAGGGGGGGCGGTCTTTAACATTCGGAAATGGAATAATCAGCAAACCAAAGTTAGTCTTTGACGGTGCATGGCAAGGTGGGGCTGTATCACTGAACTCTATGCGTAATATGGGTATCATTACAATATAGCGATGCCAAATTTGAATAACATAACAAATGAAATTTGCATCGAAAAGCCCAATCTTAAACCAAATAAAAACAAGAAGCCTCTTCTACTATCTCTACAATGCCCACTTTATTGAAACGAAGACAGGAGTGTGTGTGTGGAGGGGGGGGGGGGGGGGGGGGGATCTGGTCCCCGCTCACGCTTCCCATTAAAAATATAAGTGAGATAAGTGTTCATGTTTTGCGACAACATTGCTCCTTTAAAATTAATTTAAAGCAAAGAAATGCAACTCTCGCAATAGCCTAGTGTTCCTTGTAAGAATGAATTGCCCGGTCTTTATCCCTTTTGCTCTTATTTTAAACCAATTCATGACAAATTTTGTTGTGATTGTGCTGCTTTATTCCATCACTGCAGTCCACCCCTCTCCCCCAATGATATCTAGTTTTTTTCCAGACAAGCCTGCCTCTCCTGCAACTGAAAGTGCCCCTTCTGTCATAAAACAACGGCCCCAACTGCAACATCAAGATATTTCAATTATCATTTGTTTTCTGTTTTTTTAATTTCTTTCTCGTTCCTCAGCCATAGCCATAATTCATACTTTACAAGCAACACATCACACAAGATACCTGCCCACACAATCATTTCATTTTGTTTCCAATTCACCAGGAGACAATAGATTTATTAAAAAAACAAAATCTGTACATACTTCACAGGTTTGACATCTAGAATAGGGAGCATCACTTAAATTTTTAAAGATTTTTGTACTGGATTTACTTTTATACCTCTGCAAGAAGATTGTTGACATGTGGTCCAAACCAATGAAATTCCTTTTCTACCATTCAGCAACCATTCAGTATGGCTTCAGAACACAGTAATTGTTTGTTCTTATACATCAAATATAGAATTTAAAATATCGCTATCAAGTACCCTTTTCAACCTCATTCACTTTTAAAGATAAAGTTGAGTTCTGGTCATGTGATTGCATTGTGAAAAAAACGGTGTGGAATCTATCAGAAAAGGTTGATCATCTAGTATATAAGTGTTTGTGTGTATTGCAAGGTTCTGGAATCATCAAAATGATAAGAAATTTGGCCAAATCTTGGCTAAGTTACAAGCACTGTACACAGAATGATGTATATGGAACTACACAAACACATTCCGAAACTAGATGGAATTCGACTGCGCGCAGTCGAAAATGATGCCTCCGTCATAGAGCAATTTTACCAACCAAAACAGAAGAAATTTTTCAAATTCAAGTTCATTTGTAATCCATTAACAGGTTCTCAAAATATCGTGATTACAAGCTATTTTTGCATACATAATGAGCCATGACCTTTGACCTCATGACCCAAGAATCTACTCAGTTCATTGGCTCTGCAAGATACATACATGATCTAAGTTTGGCAGGAATCCATCAATCTGTTCTAATGATAATGCGATCACAAGCCATTTTTGCATACATAATGAGCCGCGTGACCTTTGACCTCATGACCCCAAAATCTAATCAGTTCATCGGCTCTGCAAGTAACATACATGACCAAAGTTTGGCAGGAATCCATCAATCTGTTCTTGAGATAACGTGATCACGAGCTGTTTTTTATCATATATAATGAGCCCTGTGACCTTTGACCTTTGACCTCGTGACCCCAAACTCTAATCAGTTCATTGGCTCTGCAAGATAAATACATGACCAAAGTTTGGCAGGAATCCATCAATCTGTTCTTCAGATAACGCGATCACGAGCCGTTTATGCATACATAATGAGCCCTGTGACCTTTGACCTTTGACCTCGTGACCCCAAAATCTAATCAGTTCATCGGCTCTGCAAGATAAATACATGACTAAAGTTTGGCAGGAATCCATCAATCGGTTCTTCAGATAACGCGATCACGAGCTGTTTTTGCATACATAATGAGCCCTGTGACCTTTGACCTTGTGACCCCAAAATCTAATCAGTTCATCGGCTCTGCAAGATACATACATGACCAAAGTTTGGCAGGAATCCATCAATCGGTTCTTCAGATAACGCGATCACGAGAACGGGACGTACGGACGTACGTACGGACGGACGGACAACCCGAAAACATAATGCCTCCGGCTACTTCGTAACGGAGGCATAAAAATCCTACCCAGATTTTTACAATGTTTCATGTCATATTTAGAATATGAAGGCATTTGAACAGCCATGCTTTTCAGGGAACATGTTTAATCTGATGTTCTTCCACCCTTGCATAATAACAATGATGACGCTCACAAATTATTTTTTACCTCTTCCCAGAACTCAACCTTCTCTTTAAGGTCTAATACAGCGTTGTTGCTTATAATTTGGAAGTTGTATTTGGTTCTGTGGAATTTTAACAATGTACCCTCTAACACAGATATACAGATATAGTGTACAAACAAAACTCTTCTGAGATTTAAAAAATTCTAAATGAGATTCTTCATTTTCTCCCTTTATTCCCCTAATTCATACAAAACTAATACACAAGGTTCTGATTGGCGTATTTTTTAACATACAATGTACAGATACATGTATATATACATTGGCACCACTAACAATTCCAATTTCCTGTTTATAAGCAGCTCAAGATGTTGTAAAAATAAACATCCATGACTTTCTGATACATCAAATGTTGTTTCCACGAGAATATCAAGAAGTATATCATTATTTACAATCAACAATAACAATGAATTAACAGATAAATTTGGAGCATTCTTGCCGAACTTTACCCATCATTCCCATGCCAACCTACACTACAAAGGCGTACAGATACATTTTCCTGAGGGGAGCTGGCCCAAATATCAACGCTTCGGTTCCAAAACTTTCCGCACATGAGCAAAATTTTGAAACTCTTATGTTGTCAAAAGTTACAAAAATGACACATTGTTTGTGCACCTGCCGGAATATTCAAATATTTGGGCATCTTGCCACCAGAATATTAGTTTGGTGGTTGTCCAAATATCTGAACTTTCAAACTCCCCAGGGGGGCTGCAGCCATCCTAGCCCCCCGCCTTGTACACCTATAACTACCACATTTCTTCATGTACTCATCCAATTACATTTAAACAAATCATATCAAAAAGTTTTTTTTTAAGTTATTGTTAATCTCGTCATCTAGTGCAATTAAAATAATTTCATAAACTATGCGGACGTTACTTGAAATTAGAAGAGAAAGCCATTTCAGAATCCAGGAAGTAAGCCTAGCATTTCTTTGCTGTATATTTGTATGTTTAACACTCAGATAGTGGCTAGTTTTGCCACAGCTATGTACCCCCCCCCCCCCCCCCCCCATACTGCCTTTTGCATTCATTAATTCACTTTATATACCTCATTTTAAGATTCTTTACTAATCCTGTCTTCTGATTGGTTGAAAATGCAGTCATGTTCTTAACCATGCCCGCTAATTGAAATTCATAGTCATTTTTCCCGGCTCTACCGGTTTATATCCATTTTTCATAGCACTTTTTCCATGGCTGTGAAACGTGACGTCATTTTGCTGCGATCCCCATTTTGGTTTACGTGTTACCGTATAAGTTTCTTTTGTGCGATGACCGATGCGCAATACCGTTAACGGTGTTTGAGTGCAATTCGATTTTGGTCGCTGCATTCAGGCGACGAATCTACCAATCCACGCAGCGCAGACGACCGATCGCCATTTTGTGTACTAGTCTCGATCGCAAAATAGTGGGGTTTTTGTTTCCAATTTTTTGTCAATAAAGAGGCAAAATGGAGAACACAGCTATGCCAAGATTTGGGTGAGTCAACATTTTCCTTTTTTTCGGTATATAAAATATATATTGACTGCTTTTAATATTCGAGGCATAGTTGTTTCTATAGGGTCTCGGGAAACTCACAACCTGCTATGACCCCGCGGCGCAAGCGCCTTGGGGTTATAGCAGGTTGTGAGTTTCCCTTGACCCTATAGAAACCACTATGCCTCTCAAAGCAGTCAATATATCCTTATTATTCACTGGTACTGGTGTTCTGCAGTGTGAGTTTTGTGAGGTGGTTTACAATTACACATCTGAATAGTCAGCAATACCATAGCAGCAAAGGTGGATATTAACCACTTCCAGTGCCTCAAAGTTTATGAACGATCAAATATTACATTTCAGTTGTCTAATACTTAATTTCAAAGTGTTTCAAGTTGAAACTAGGCTTGAAACAGGTTTTTATATATATTTTTATACCATAGGAGGTTGATATGTTAACCGTTAAATAATATTTCTGAATCAAAATCAAAATAGTGGAGAATGTTTAGGGGGAAATTTAACAAGAGACAACCCCCCCCCTTCCCCCAATAAAAACCTTGTGCCATTTTGATATCTTTAAACACTACATTCAGTAAATGTCCTTTCTCCGGATATAGAAGGAACATGCTAAATTATATTTTCTTTTCTTCTTCTTTTGAGAGGAGGGGGGGGGGGGGGGGGGGGGGGGAAGGGGGGGAGGTGAAATGGTGTATATTTCTTTGTTATCTTATCTACATGTACATGCAACGTTACGACTGAACTGTGTAAGAATTTGAGGTTCTCTACGGTTCAATACTAGTACATTCCAACGCATCTCCCAAACATTAATTATGTCCTATCTAATCGCTAATCGCTTTCACCCAGTCCGGAGCGTGTCAGGGCTGCCTCCAAGTGTTTCTAATCAATACACACATGTTCTTCATGAGCTCTGACAAGCCTATAACACTGAAGTCTACATAAGGCCATTTCTCCCTTTCTAAATAGATTTTGTAGTATTTTCATTTGAATTCTAAAAAGAGACAGAAGAAAAAAAAGATGAAAATAACAGACTTGATGTCTGTACGTTGACTCGGGTCTATTAGTAAAAAGTCATATTTTGACGGTGAAAACCACTGGTTTCTGTGCTGAGGGGGTCGCTCCTTTCTTGAAGAGGGCTTTCTGGACGACTCCCGGATCAATGCCTGAGGGTACAGTTCCTTTGGGCATGCTTTCAAATGGTAACTTAGGATTGTTCTCAGGTCTCATGCCCCTGAAATAGAAAGAAAGAAAGAAGAAAAAGAATTTACAGCTTGAGTAATCAATGAGTAACCGTTCGTGTCATACAATAGATACATTAAGAAGGAGTTGGTATAGTTTACCAATACCAGTACAATGCAATGTGAAACACAAATCAGCATGCATTCATGATTTTTTCCCACTATCCTACAATCAGTGAATAGAACACACTAAAACTTGAATGATGGGCTGGTGAAACAAGAGGAGCAAATCTAACACCTTTAATGACCATTTTCTTCATAACTTTTTTCATTAAAAAGATGTGGAATTGTGTTTACCTCCATATAACATACTTGTACTTGCGAGTTAGCCATAAATTGAACAGACTCCACCCCCCCCAACCCTCTAGTAACTTTACCATGGTGGGAAGCGCAAGGACTAGAGGACACTTTAGAGGTTGTATACTTAACCCTTACTGTACTGGGGGGGGGGGGGCCTGGGAGGCCCCCCCCCTCGACATTTTCGGAGATTGCGCCGCAACCGCTCGGAATTTTGAATTGTCGTTTCATGACTTTTTTCCCTCAAGTCTTACGCACATTTTGATACCATTTTCGTCGAAATCGGATATACCTGTAAGGTGTTACATAACAATTAGTATGCGCACGTCATCAAAAAAGTGCTATAATTGCGTATATTCATGTACAAGCAGAAATGTGAAGATATGAATTGATATCAAATTGCTTTTATATGTTTCTCAAAGTAACTTGATGTATTTTAGAACAAAAGAATACATTATAAATAAAACAATATATATAATAAGAAATAAAAAACAATAAAATACATAAGAAAATAAATAGTTGAAAATCGCATCAAATTTGCATAAATTATCATTATTAATTACTTCAAATAACTTTTTTGTGTTAGAAAAGAAGTGTCATATGGATAATGAGTAACAATATTCAAAAGGTGGAGTCTGACAATTTTTGTAAGGATTCAAGTTCCCTATATATATTTCCAGATTTGATATTCATGGTTGCGTATTCATAATTTATGCAAATTAACCTATGCATTTTCAAATATCATAAAAATAATGAAACCTCATGAATTTGAGATGAAGGAAACATTTATTCAATACATTTTCATCATTCTTCACAAGTCTACAGACAAATATGTAGAGTTTCTGTAAAATGCATAAAATTAGCATTTTGCATAATTAATTAGGCTATAACGACAAAAATTTGCATATTAGCAAAAAACTAATTATACCATCTTGTTCCTTACGTAAATATCTTACGTTCATTGGACATTCGACGGCCGAGATCATAGGGGGGGGGCCTCCCAGGCCCCCCCCCCCCCCCCCAGTCAGAGAGTGCTCGAAATAGCCCAGTACAGTAAGGGTTAAAGGGCCATCCAACCCTTGTAAGAAGTTCATTTGAATGAGAGCAGAACAATAAGATGTACAGAATGGCGAAAGTTTGAAATAAATCGGACCCAAAATGAGAAAATAATGAATGTTTGAAATATGAGATCACTAAGTTTATGCGAATCTCAGATTGGCAGTTCGGTCACGTCGTCACGGATAACTTTCCTGTTTGTCATGCACACAAATTTCATTAATTTCTGTTTTCTCCTTATTGCCTTCTCTCCTGGGGCACTACTCAAAACATACTATGGATAGCATATATTTATACGTCCGCTAAAGGGGAAAGTCCCTTTTGAGTCACACATTTTTGAGAAATTGAAATTTTGTCATTTTGTGTGGGAACAAATGGGAAAGTTGACCGTCACTATATCACAGAGACATTACCGATTCAGCCAATTTGAAGAGCTCATACCTATAGTGGTTTCAACTAAAAAATGTCATAACTTTCTAATCTTTTGTCTAATTCCAATTTCATTTAAATTTTAACCAGTCTACTTCTCCTGCTTTTTCTCTAGGTAGTTTGCTATCAGGGTTGGATTTCCTTTAAACTCCGGCGTCGTTTCATGAAAGCAGCATGAATCTACAAGTTTGCCGACATTCCGCTTGCACGCATGTATTACATCTAATACGCGTTTCAATGGGACTTCAGTTAACTTGATCGCATGACGGATTCGTGAATCGATGCCTAGATAACTATGGTTAACACACACACACACATACAAGTAATGGCAAAGATACTAACTTGAATCTGTCGCTGAGTGAATTAGGCATAGTCCTGTTCCCAGATGCTTCGGGAACGGTACTCGTGTCCAATTTGCAGAGCATGGGTTTTCCGTCAAGCTCTCGGTTGTGATATGTGCTTATCGCCTGAATGGCATCAGTCCTGCTGACATAGACCACTTCAGCTAGACCTGGTTTCACCATCCTCGTCTTGGTCAGTTCACCAATTGCTCCAAACAATTCCTATATAAGAACATGATAAAGTTTGTAAAAATATATGTATTGAAATCTTTAAATTGGCAAATATAGAGTCCAATACTATATAACTGATTGATATATTATGTAATTTACTTTTCCATATACTTTGATTTAGGGTTTTGATCAAAAGAAAGCCATATTCACAATTTAAAATGCAATGCTTGATTTACATTAAAATGCAATGCTTGATTTAAAATGCAGTGCATGGCAAACAATGTATCTACGCATGGTGTCTTTTCCAGTAATTCAGGTTTAAAACTTGTTAAAGGCACATAGAAGTGGGCTCTCATGGGGAATTTGATGCCATTTTGGTGTTAACCCAGTAACACCCGTTGTCAGTCACAAGGATTTGCCTTCAGTTTTAACACCAACAGGCTTCATGTAATGCTCTGCCTTTTCCCAATAGGTTAAGGTCATTAGACATTTGCATCCCCCCAAAGACTCTCCTAGAGACAAGGGGGTGTTGCTAGATTGGACTACGAGTTCACTGTCTCCAGACTTGTACACACATTAATGGTGTCAGCAAATTATGACCTTCTGCACATAGAAACTGACGGCCCTCTCCCTTCAACAAAACTTAGTTTTCAGAATACCCCACCCCCCCCCCCTCTATGGTTTAAAGCTCATCTGTACTAGTTTATAGGAGGGATTAAACCACCCTGCAAAGTCACCGGACAGTTGGTTATCTCATCAACTCAGCTCTCAATTACCATAAGATAAAGAGGATCATGGGGGACCAATGGTCACTGATTAGGCATTGTTTTCTATATCGAGGGAGCAAGTAGCTACAAGTAATACAGTGTGGCTTTAAGCCTGTTGGTTTTCATAGAGTGAGTTGTAGGTTACCTTGATATCGTCCACTGTTACACTGATCTGTAGGTTGGAAATGATAAGTCTTGTTCCTGGGGGCTGGGCATGGGTATGAAGTCTGGCTGAGAAACCAGTAGCCTAGAACAAAACAATCAAATAATCCATGTAGCAATTTACTTCAGAGCACACAACAAATACTGTATGCGATTCATGAATTCACCAAGAAGGCAAGGACTGTTGTGGTAAAGATTCATGGAGGTAATAATATACTGCCAAGTTTCAAGAAAAGTGGGTTTATCTTTGAATGTTTAAAAATACTTCTGCTGCTTGTTTGTAAGACCATTGACATTTTATCTCTAAATGATAGTTTCATAAGAATTTTTACTTGGGTCTTTTTTTATTTTATAGATATGTCCTCTTGCTATCTATTATCATAAACACTGTGGATAAATTTTGCATCATGGCCACAGCAAACTAAAGATTGCTAACACAACTAGTGACCATTTACAATGAGAAAGAAGATACATTTAATATTTTGTTACCAATAAATAAACTTACCCAAGCTCTATTCTGTGCCATAACACTTTCAGGCATGCGTCGCTGTACCTTGGGAGGATTGGGTTGAGGAACACTTATTAAGTCATCATTAAAGTGTGGATAGTCAACAGCTGGTCTCTGTAACTACATCAAGGGGAAAGAAATACTTGTATTACATCACTGTCTCTGACATTAAAAGCTTAACAATATATTTAGGTAGTTGTAATTCATGGAGAGAAAAATTATATTGAGGGGCGCTTTCTGTGTTACAATGAATATATGCAGCGTTCCGTTTATAATTAAATTCATGAAGAACATTGATACACAAGTTATATATTTTTTTTCTAGGAGAACAATTAGATGTAGAGGTGTCGTGGTCGAGTGGATACGTCGCCGGACTATCGTTCACAAGGTTCGCGGTTCGAGTCCTGCCGTGGCACTAATGTCCTTTGGCAAAACATTGATCTACATTTTCCACACTCCACCCAGGTGAAGTAAATGGGGACCTGGTAGGAATTCATTTCTTGAAATGCAGCGCGCGTGACAGCGGCTCTGCTAAAGCCAGGGTAATTATGCTGCATGATTGTAGAGCGCTTAGAGACTTCTGATAAAGGAAGCGTTAGGTGCTATATAAGCAAATATAATTATTATTATTATCCATCATGAAAATATTTGACAGGTTGTGGCAACAAGTACACCTTACTTTTGTAATAACTACAGGGGAAGAATTAATTCTGCCAGTCTTGTTAACAGGCAATGCTTTACTGCAACACTGTCTTATAAATACAGAGATGTGATTGACACAAATCTTTGTTGCCATACACTGAACAGACTCCACCCCCCCCCCCCCCCCCAATAACCTTCCTTCGTAGCTTCCCCAGGCTGAGTATATTCTTACAGGACAAGCATTCCGCAATTTGTTGTTCGGTTCAGTACTTTTTGAATTTAAGCCCTAAAAAATATGCCATAATCATGAAAGAGAATGGCAATTTCTGTACACATATCCTCGGCCTGGGGAAGCTACAAAGTTGACTTGCAGCCATCTGGCCTACCTTTTGAGGTTGTGGAACAGCCTTGGTGACTCTGAGAGTACTGCTACCCGCCAGTAAGGGGTTGTTGCTCTGACGAGGGGAGGTTCCGTGATGAGAGGTGGCCAGGGAAAGAGATGATGTGGATTCCTGCTGAGGGGGATTCTTTATGGTGATCTGTGTCTTGTTCTGTACTCTGGCTGGATTACGCACTGTGAAGGTCGATCCCAACTGCACCGTTGGAATGAGTGAGAAATCAATTATGACAAAGTGATAATAAGAATTACAGCTCAGAAATTTGTCGAGTAAAGTCAGACTCACAAACAAACACACACAAAACTTCACTGAAAATGCATTTAACTGATTGTACATGTTTAGGAATTACAGTCCTTACAAACTTTGTACCTACAGTATATTAAGTTTAATTCAATATTATAATCTATATTTAACATGCTTTGTATCTATGTTAAGTTTAATTCAATAATATATTATATTCAAATGCTGTAAGACAGTTGTATGGCGTAAAGTATAGTAAATGCTAGTTATTAATAATATCATTAACTAGGCAGTTAAAATTTGATGGAGTCTCTACAGTGGAAATACAACCCAAACAAATAAGTTCCCAGAGGTTTGCATGAAGTCTGATAAAAGTTTTGATTGTATTCTGTGATGATAGCTAAGGAAAAGCAAAGAGATCCTTTTCAAAACAAACAGAGGGCATGGACATATAAATTACCTACCAAAGCTAATAAAACTCTCTCTCTCCCTTCTGCAACTAATAAGATGCTGCTTAAGTATAAGTATCGGCTTGCATGGTGATGTACATGTAGATATACAGTAGGTTTGCAGTAACACACACACTCAAGAAAGAAAGATTATCGAGTCCTTTTCAGGACTTGCCAATCCTCCCTCTCTCACATGGTGTAACCGCAAGCCTACTGTATGCGTACATGTATGTATCCATTTCTTTCCCATTCCACTTACATTTGGCACCGTTCTAGCAAGGGGTCTGGTCTGAGCAGCATTGGGAGGAGGAGACGCAAGTTGCTCTCCACTCCTCGGTTGCCTCACCACCTGTCCATCCGCGCTCCTCTTCTTCGATGTCAGCTTCAACCTGGCATCGGTCTGTCTTGCTTTCTTGGCCAGCCGGTCCCGGGCATCACCCTGGTGGGCCTTCTGAATCAGCTTCTGTCTTGCATCGACGATGACCGGCTTCTCTGGCGGGAATTGCTGCTTTTGCCAGTTGCCCTTGCCCCTGCCTTTGTTCTGGCCTCTGGGGTTCCCTGGAGGTGCTCTTCCACCCATGTTGCCTCCTGGACCTCCTCTACCTCTCCCCCTGCAAGACAAAAACAAAAATAGAGTTTACATTCTTGTAATAACTAATTTACCGAGGGAAGCCTCATCAGCATCAATGCTGTTATTCCTGAGGGCCCTGTAATTATATTTACCCCAGCTGTAACCATTTTCGTAATGTAACCAAATTTACATCTTTGTGAAGTGCCTTGATACAAATGATTCCATTCACCTGGGGTTGTTTTATCAACATTTATTGAAATTAGTCGCCTAGTCGGTGGACTAATAGAAATTAGTCGGTTTTTTCCACTGACAAATTTTCATTAGTCGGTGATGATATCAGTCGGTGAAAACCACAGACTAATTGTTTCATGAAACGCCATTTCAGAAGTCAGAATGCAAATTGCAGATATAATGTGTTATTAAAGGGAACCAAAACCTTCATACTAAGTTACTTTTATTGTAAAGTTTAAAAGATTCGAATAAAATCAGTGAAAATCGGAGGCCAGGATCAAGAAAACAAATCGTCAAATGGAGAAATAAAAAAGCATTTAAATAGTCATTAGAGATCGGTCGAGGTTTGTTTGTAGACTCTAGGGGGTGTTTCACAAAGATCCTAAGTAGAACTTAACACTAAGTTTGACTTAAAAATTATGGACAGCCATTGGAGCCTTAAAATGAAATATACTCAAAAGCAGAAATTCAAGTATTTTAGACATTTTATAAATTCCACAACAAGAATATGAAATCTCCTTAATGATAGAAAATATGAATGATTTGAATAAACATTTTATGCCTTTCAAAAATATTTTTACCAAATATTTTCAAAGATGCTAATGGCTGTCCATAATTTTTAAGTCCAACTTAGAGTTAAGTTCTACTTACATGTAGGATCTTTGTGAAACACCCCCTAGGTCTAGTTATTATTTCATCTCAAATAGAATTTACAATTCTCTTATTAATAAGTTAAGAACACCTACGATGTTCTCGATCGTAGTTACTCTCATTTTACCACCAGCCGACCTAGCTTCGTTAGAGTCTCTGGTTTGCGGCATCGCCCGGTTTGCGGCCAGGGGTATTTGTTTTAAAAATAAAATGAATATGACTCGATAATAATCATTGAAACCTACCGTGGATTCCACGGTAAGTTCTGCTTTGCCGAAAACGTCCGTAGCAGGTGCTCCTGTCGGTACCGAGTATCCGTCAGCGATGTCGGAAATCTACGGCACCAGTCGCCGATGAAAATTCCAGCAGGTGCTAACTTTTAAGTTAAGAGATCGAGGCATGACTAGATCAATATTGTAGCTCTATTTGTCCGATGTTTGTCCGATTGGAGGTGAAATTTGATGTTTTTGTGGAAGTATGATGGCTGTGGTCTGTCTCCTATCGCAGATATTTTGATTGTGCCACCGCATGGCCAGTTGCATGGGGTGGCCGCAAACCGGCATGTAATTACGTGTTTTTTCTGGTTTACGGCGGGGGGTGTTAATACACACATAACATGCGGGATCGTGTATGATGGTATGTGTGCTGATGTGTGTAACCGCTATGACCCGATAGTTTCTAGTAGTACTTACCCCCGGATGGGATGATCCATTCGAGGAAAAGGTGAAATTGTTTAAAACTTGACAAATTTACCGTAGCAACAGATAAGCATGAGAATTTGGGTTACCCGTAGTAATTTGGTACATGCTTTCATCGTGACGTAGCGCATAAAGCTTTGTGACGTACGCGTGCCGCAAACCGGTAATGCGTGCCCGCAAACCGGGGAACTCGAAGCATTTCGAAACGTGGTCAATGCTGACCAGTTAGGTTATTTGTGACTTCTATTTAATAAGTAAGTATAATATGGACTCTTTATTGAGGGTATTCTGTGAGTATTCCAATAAAAATAGAATCGGCAGTTCCCGCCGATCGGCCGCAGACCGGAGCCACTACTCTAGATATGGCAAAAAGCTAGCACGCTAGCTCCCCACCAAGAGTGGCGAGAGTGTGTTTGCGTGGAACAATTTTGGTTTTGAGAACACACGTTTCGCAATTGAGCCGAGGTGTCACTTTCAGCGATTTTGCGTATTATAGATCTAGATAAATATACCTTCACCTTTACCCAAGATTCTGGAAGAATGCCGTGTTCTCAGCAGTCCGGCTTCCAGTTCCAGTTCAACTTCAATCAATCTTTCAATGTTGTGTTTCTTCCTTCTCATCATTAACATTTACATGTAGGCCCTAGATCTAGGTCTAAATGTCTTCTTTTTTTAGGAAAAATGCTCAAAAAATTATAATAAAATTGACACAAATGGGGTAAGAAACATAATGAATTTTGAATCATGATCATTTTTTGAACAGTTGATGAAGATTTAGTTGATTTTTTGGTATGTTTTACTAGGGTATCTCCACGCCGGAGTTACGGGTCAAAGTCTGGATACGAAAGTACATTAGCGACACAGTTTCTACAAAACAGGCAATATTACGGTTCTTACCTCCCTAGACGGTTCTGAAAATTGGAAGGTTTTGATGTTTTCCTATTTCGGATGATGTCATCTAGGGACTGATCCATCACTTTTTCATGAAGATAAGCCAAAATTAGTGATTAGGGAGCCAAAATACGATCAACTGACGCTCAACCGTTTAGCGTGTTTCGCAGCTATCCAGATCCAGTGACGTGAGCTAGCTAGCTCCGCGCGCGCGCCCAGAGCGCGCTAGCTTTGAACACTAACCTCTACCATTTTGAATATGCATTTTCTTGATTTATATAGCGCAGCGTGTGCGACGTGCATATGTACTGTAGGAATGTACCATTAAAGCGTGCGTACTTTTGGGTGTATGCGGGTTTTTTTTAATGCTAGGTCAGGAGAGAGAGAGAGAGGGGTATATGTTCATGAAACTTTCAACAGAGCATTATTTGATAAACTAAGACTGGAAAAAAATGGTATATATAAATGTAAACTCGTTGAACTAAACATAATCACTAGAAACATAGAGCATGTACTGAAGGTCAAAGTTTAAAGTGCGTGGGGAAAACCCAAGTACCATTATACAGTGTGTATTAAAAAAAAGTACTCACTTTGTAAATATCAAAATTTTAATTTCATGATGTCTCCATAATTTTTGTTCCCCAAGTCGAAATTCCAATATGATCCGATAGCCTATTGGACCATCAGAAACCATTAGAGCTATTGCTGTCTATTAGTTTCAATAGGGAAAGTGAAATATTGGACCCACAGAAACCAATAGAAAATATCTATTGGACCAACGACCAATCCACAGAAAAAAATGCTGATGGACCAATAGAAAGCTTTTATTGGACTAACATCCACGAGCCAGAGCTATATAACACTGAGTTCCTATTGGACATCTATTTATTCAGATGGTCATATCTCAGCCAATACTTAACATATTCAATTGGTTTTCGACATTCGGACATTATTTTTGATGCTCTATGGAAAATGAAGGAAAAAAAAAATTGAGAAATTCTAAAAATAGACTTTTATGACGTCACACTTTCGGTACTCTATTACCTATTATTATCGTGGACAATCACCCTCCAACCTCCCAGGACAATTACCCCCGGGAAAAAAAAATCTGCTTTTATTAAAACCAACTTCTTATCTGGATAGCCTTCGTCTTTAATGAACTGGCCCGGGAGGGGGGTCGTCTTCGATGGGGGGGGGGGGGGGGGGGGGGGGGGGTAGGAGGTAAATTTTAGGTGTTAAATTTCTGGGGGGGGGGTAATTGTCCTCGGGGGTATTTCCAGGGGGGGGTATTTCCATGGGGGCAAATGTCCTCGCAGGGGGTGGTTTTCCTTAGGGAAGGGTATTGCAAGGGAGTATGCTGCGGGGGTTAATGTCCTGGTGGTAATTGTCCTGATACGCACTGAAAGTGTTCACAATTAAAATGTTAATGTTACGCTCGAGTGAGAACTGGCTAATGTCGATAGAAAAAAACTTGCTGACATTGGTTTGCCCCCAAAATGCTTCAGCCTTGAATAGGGTAAAAAAACAAATCAGGCAGCTATTGCATAAGTTATTTTGACTATCAAATAATAATATTTGAACGATCATTATATCTTAAACCATATACCTATAGCAGTTGTGGCGTATTCACAAATTGATAAAAGAGAGAGGTGGCATAATATTACATTCGCCCAAGAAACGTTCAGTAAATGTATATTGGCAGTCCCTTTCTGCATGTTCCCCCATAGCAAGTTTCACTGTCTTTCATGGCCCTCCAAGAAGAAGCTATATACTTTAGCTTCACCAAATGCTCGATACGCCATCTGTCAAATCACCACCCCCTCACTATTATCATTGCAGATGGTTTTTTTTTAATTTTTATTAATGCGCATATTGATCGAGTTTCGAATTATTAAAGAAGTGTTGCATCGAGCTCAAGAAAAGCGGATGCTGATTCAAACGATCAGAGAGAGACAGAAGAAATGGCTTGGACCCATAATGCGGCCTGATGATGATCAGAGTCGTAGAAGTGGGGAAGACCTCGTAAAGGCTTTCTAGATGATTGAATCGCAGAATGTGGAGCAACAGGGTATGAAATGCTGAAACGGATGGCTCAAGACCGAGTTACTTTGAGAGACAATGTCTTAATTGATGTAGAATTCTGTTTGGGTCACTGAACCTGTAATACTGACAGATCACGGTATTGATCAGTAGCCATGTTTGTCTCGATATAGTTGTGTTGGAATGACTGATGCACAGAGAGAAAAATATCCGAACAGCAGTTACTCATTTCTTCTTTAAATCTATAATTTATCCTAAAAGTCACAAGACCAAAAAGATAAGATGTTGTCTAATGGTGAATTGGAAATTTGTGAACTGAGGAAACCTATTTATCGACAATTTTATTAATGCTTTCTTTTCTTCAATTAAACACGGATGTGACATATCAACATGCCTTAGACCAGCGTTTTTTTACACCACCCCTTTTCAGAAATAAAAGTTACCGTAATCCCAAATTCATAACAGAATATTATTTGTGCATCACTCTTAAACTCGAAAGTGCCATAATTATGTACACACCTACGGGCATAATTTTTCCCGAGCTAGAGACATCTTTAAATATTATGCAACAATTATTTTGTAATCAACACCACACTCTTTAATGAATGCTGCAACCCGCCTCCAAATATACATGAATGATGAATATAAGGATATTCGGGCATCTCTTGTTTACAAAATATGAGAGTATTCACACACTTCGCTGCGAGAAATTGCCCTGTTTCTGATTAATGCGAGCGAGCGAAGAGAGTGAGAAAAACATACACTTTTGAAATCTTTAAAATGTTATCTTTGAAATCGATTAACGCACTTTAGCGGCTTTTAATACGAATGTCGTTTTTCACGAAATCGACTTTATTCCAAAATCACCTTTTGATAAAAACTAAATTTCTCATCCCTGTAGATGTGTTGCGCCACCAGGGAGCTAGCCACGGCACACTGGTCGAAAAACGCTGCCCAAGGCTGTATGTTTTCCACATGTTAAAGGTACTATGTCCCATTTGCAGGCCAAAAAAATGAAAAGGTTAAATTCCAACGGCATTTGAAAGACAATACTAATTTAGAACTTCCCTAAAAAAAAGGGGGGGCTTGAAAATATCTTTAAGTGGGAAAATAACGACTATTAGTTGTCGAATCGACTTAGAGAGCTATAAAGCCAGTAAGTAATAGTCTGATTTTTCAGACCATTGTACTGAATGGTCAAACGTTTTATGCTGCGCAAAGATTCAATCAGTTTCAATTTAGCCATTACAAGAAGTGGGTTATTGATGTAGACAAGTGCTCATGATACCCTTTACCCATTTTATGTATGTTATTACCAAAGATGAAAAAAGCCAGTCAGTCACTCAATGGTGTCTGACAGTGAAGTCTACCAAAGTAAACGGGTTTCCTTGCATAATTTGAATATTAGGACTCTGCTAAGGTTTAAATTTCACAGATAGGACATACATGACATATTCATAATGCCTGCAAAGTTCTACATAATTTGATGTTGGCTGTAAAAGGGACATAGTACCTTTAGACAAAAAAATGACCCATTGACGTTAACGAGGAAAAGATATGAAAAACAAAGGAACTACTTAAATAACTTGTTTAAAAATTAGATTTCATCTCTCTTTTTTTGTTGGGGTGAAAATCGAACAATAATTTGTGAACATTATCTTCAGTACTGCTTTCCATTCCGTCAAATTGCTAAACCAAAAATAGTTATTCAGTACAGAAAAGCCATTAATCTGCAGTATTATGTGTGTGATTGGGTGTGAGCGCGTGTGTGTATGTGTGTGTGAAAGTGATTAGGGTATTAATTTAATGGGTGCACGATCGACTGCAGATGTATGGCTGAAGATCAACTGATGGTTCAAATTAATTGTTGATTATTAATGATGTCTGACATGCATTTTGCTTCAATTCAAGAATGAACATTTTTGCGCAAACTATTTATTTTCGCAAGTTTTTCGGCATTGACCACTGCTCTCTCAAGCGTAAACTATTGTCAACAGTTTTAATGTCATCCGATTGAATAGACCCTCACCCGTAATTCCTAAGAAAAAATAATGCAGCTTTCGTGAAATTATAATTGTTAAAATTATTTCAAAATTGTTTTTTGTTGGTACACACTGTACATATAGCGATTCCACTCCACGTCATTGCATACATTATCTGTATATTCAATACGCGTCTGCGCCATTTTATACTTACCTTGTACATGCATTCTTTTGTCTAGGCCTGCTTTTGAATTGCCATTGAGAGTATGTACGAGCATCAAGATCAGTATTTCAAGAAGAAAAAAACGAATCCGTATAGTGTGAAATGAAACTGTGCACAAGTTTTGCATCAATTTGAAATATCAAACTTTGATTCAGCAGTTTGGACAATTTTCCTTGTTCATTTGATATTGGCGGATCCATTCAATAACACACACTGTCGACTGCAGATATAGGCTGGTACTGGCTGCGTTTTCAGCTGGCCGCCGACCATAAACCTACATTGTACGTTGGTGGAAATACATTGATTAATCTGCGTCATGGCGGAAAAAAGGCAGAAGAGGCAGCTTCTCAAAATATATTGTGTCCTTTGTGCCTGGACGTGTTTGATAATGCTTCCATGTTGATATGTGGACATACGTTCTGCAAGCAGTGTTTAGAGAGGTATGATGCCGCCCATCGAGACCTAGATCACATGGTGTGTCCTCTCTGCAGGAAAGTCACTAAGTTGGATGAAAGTCGAGTCACTGGTCTACCACAAACTTCACCGTCAAAGGCTTGGTAGACGAGTACCACGGCTCACATGGTGGGATAAATGCTGTTCTGGAGGGTCAACCGAAGTGCACTGCTTGCGATCTCCAGGGAGATGCTGTATCCTTCTGCTACGAGTGTGGCAATTACATGTGCGCCAATTGTGATTTTGGTCATAGTCATCTATCATCGTTCTTCAAGGGACATCAGGTTGTATCAATGAAAGACGTCGTGGAAGGAACTGCCAGTATCGGGCAAGTCACAAAGAAGTGTTCGGTGCACAAGCACGAAAACAAGGATCTTTTTTGCGAAGATTGCAAAGTATATCTATGTCTGAAGTGCATGATCGTTGATCATCGTGATCACACCATCAAAAACCAGGCCAACGTCGAGACGGAGAGACAACAGAAAGTGGATGACATCGTCAAGCGCAGTAGCGACAGAAAAAACGAGTTCGAGAAACATATCCAGGACATTGAATCCAAACGCAAGAAATCGACACCGCTATCCAAAAGCTGCAAGGTAACATAGAAGAGGCATTCATGGTAAAACTTGACAAACTGAAAGAGAATAAGCAGCTGCTTATCACAGAAACACAGCTACTGCAAGAGAATTGTGACCAAGAACTGGATGCCTTGAAGTCTGGCCATCGACAGAAGATCAAGGCTATTTCAAGCTCTGTGAGCCTCGTTGCCAATGGAAGGTTGAGATATTTAGAGAAAGACAGTCTGACAGCGCACTCATTAATCTCCAACGAACTAGAAAGTCTCTTGGAGGAAGCTATTGATGAGGATTCTGTAACCGACTTAATGACACGTACTACAGCGACACTGTTAATACCGGCAGAAGATACCCTTCTTGATCTTGGTCGTGTGTCAATTCCTTGTCCGGCAATCGAAAAAGTGGTTGACCTACCATATCCAATGAGTGGCATAACACGACTATCTGAGGATTCGGTTCTTGTTGGGTATGGTGGAAGCCGGTACGATGCTGATAAAGTGGAAATCAATGGAAACGTGCAGAGCTGTCCGAGTCAACATTATAATTCACTTTTCTACGATATTGCCATTCTAAGCGATTCAAAGATTGTGGTGTCAGTAGCTCCGAGACAAGTAACATTCTTCAATGAAAACTGGTCTAGGACAACATACACAACAATCTTAAATGAAACAGGATATAACATTCCATTCATAAGTGTTAGCTCTAAGAATGAAATCATAGCGGCGAACATAACAGATCGGATTCATGTCTTTGATCCTACTGGAAGCACGAGAAAGCACTCAATTGCAACAATGGAAACACCAGGGCAAGCCCTTGCAACCAAGTCAGGTGTGATCATCTCAAGTTCTTGCCACTATAATCCTCCCAGCAGAGTAAGAGTCTATGATAGAGATGGAAAATCTGGTGATCCTATAGCAGCCAAAGAGGGGAATATCTCTTCCCAGCAGTAGATGGGGAAGACAGGGTGTTCATTGCGAGTGTCAATCAGCCAGCTGGTAGAATACAAATCACCCTCTACCGTCCCGAAGATTTGAAGCTCAAGAAAGTGGTAGAGTTCGAGGAGCTTGAACTAGCACTGAGTCACACATGGTGTTATCTAGTTTCCGTTTCCCATAATACACTTGCATTCGCTTGTGGTAAAAAGGTGTATTTCCTTACTATTCCACATGGAATAGTTCCTGTGGCTGCAGAATAATCAGAAACTAAAAGCCAGAGTTGTATGTAAGGTTGTTTCCGCATGATAACAGTTCTCATGGCGTCTGATAGTGTTATATCCCCTCTAGATGCTAGTTACATGTATGATATAGACAGGTGTAACACATTAGTACAAAATATTATATTTGCGAGCACTATATGTTGGTGTGTATTGGATTAGTTCTCATAAGTACAATGAAATGTATTTCTATCTAACGATTTAAAAGTCATTGCGATTTCAAGTAGTTTACATCTGTTCGGTATCCCCCCTAAGATGGTGCTAATACATTACAGGGCAGCAGTGGTAGCAATCGGTAAAATATCCTGCCTTCATAATAATATCCCTAAAAGTCGAATCTATAATAGTCAATGTGTTCATGTGTACGTGTGCTTCATACTACCAGTATACCACACAATTCTGTGCATGTCATTACTTGGAAACCATTTGTTGTTTGTGTAAGTTTGAGTTATCTGATTATTTTCTGTTTATATTTGATAACTACACAATCATTCAATGTTAGTAAAAACCAAAAATTGTTTTTCTCTATTCAATCATCATTGATTGTTACTAATGATCGATTTGTCCTAATTACCTTGGATATTGAACGAGGTCGACCTTGGCTAGCTCTTAATATTGTTGGCTCTTTTGAGCCAAATGTCTTCAGTAGTTGTTACAGAGAAATAGAACGTATTTTGAAAAGTTTGATATTTGAAATAAAATAAATGAATGAATAGAAATAACATACCATACACACAGACTGCAACTCATGTTGAATACGCTTCCACCTTTTGCAATGATTTTCACCACTGCTTTTTATTTGTTTGTTTGTGAATATACTTTCAGCGTCTACAATATGAGATTTGAAAGTTACTTATGTTCAGATGTAAAGAAATAATGCATATTGTCTTATTAGAGTTAAGTTGTATTTCGTTAATCATCATGCACATTATTTATTTAGTTTAGAAAATAATGACCGCATCATAGAAAAATAACAAAGATAGGATATTGTGTACATCTGAGCAGTATCAAGTAACCAAATTAATTATTTATTTGCTTCCAGTTACTTTTTGTACTTTCAGAGTTTTCAGATAATTTGTATGTACAATAGATATGATTCAAGAGTATAATAACCAAAATATTACAGAAGAAGGAGTTGAATCCTATTCAACAAGTAGTTTGTGATGCATATGATGCCTGAATGATATACAGCAGCTGCGTTTTGTAAATCCATGTACTATTATAGTTATTGTTTTGCAGTTGTCCAAATTCTATTCTGCATTGGTATTTTTAATTTGGTGTCTTGATCAATGATGGTTGTGTGCATTGCATTTTCAACGAATGAAATGGACTGTACTAGCCAACTTGTATTCATTTTGAAACACTAATTTACTGCTTTGGGAAGCTCACTTTTAAAAACAGACCTTTCATAGACCGTTTATATCCAAGGAAAGATAACCATGAAGTCCATTTCATAATTTTGTAGAGGCTGCAATTAGTTTGAAATGATATGAATAAATTAGTTTTGTTTTCTTCAAAAGATGATGTCGACATGATTGAACAGCTTTATAAAGCCAGTGTCGGCTTGAACGTGTGTTGTGGTAATGACGGGTCAAATACAGGTTTGTTGCAGATTCACAGATAAGACTATACTGTTCAGATGGTCTGTTACAGGTGGTTTGTTCAGATTTCGTGATAATTAATCAATCAGAGGGATAGGAAGGGAGAACCGGTTCGAACTTGTTCAATTAGGATCAAATCTTGTAATTCAAAAATCAACAAGTTTACATCATGATAACCCAACTTTGTGCCCGCTTGTGTTAATATTAGTCCATTTTCTAGTAGCGATGGGAAAGGATTGTGGGGCAACAATAAGAAGGGAATATGAGAGAGAGAAAGAGAGAGAGAGAGAGAGAGAGAGAGAGGGGGGGGGGGGGTGGTAAGTTCAATGAAATAGTAGGCCTTTTAGAGGAAGATGGTTATGGTGAGAGAAAGAGAGAGAGAGAGAGGGAAGGGGGAGATAAGTGAGAGGAAACGATAGGCCTACTATGGAAAATGAAGTGTGTGAGAAAGAGAGAGCGAGAGAGGATCGAGTGAGAGGAAATAGCAATATAAGAGGAGATTGATATGTATGCCTATGTGTGTGTGTGTGTTATGGTGAGAGAGAGAGAGAGAGAGAGAGAGAGAGAGAACAGAGACGGGAGAATATTATGCATCTTTTTTTTCTTCTTTTTCTCATTTTTTGTTGGTGCAGTTACCGAACCTAAACAGAATGATTTTTAGAATTTTCCATTAGTGGCGTTTCGTAGCGCGGGCCCTAGTCAGTCCTAAGTCTACTAGATCAGCTTTTTTCTCGCTTTTCACTCACGGCTTCTTTCAAGGAGAGGAAAGAAGAGTCCACTAGCAAACTCCGAAGCTTGTGTGCAATGTCACTGTGCGACACCCTGTAACAGCAAATTCTCCCAACCCTTTTTTTAGTTTTCCAAACCGTTTTTCCATGAAAATAAGTCATAAAACAGGCTCTTAAAAATCTTTCAACACTCAAATGTCTGAAATGGTATATAGAGCCAATTCATTGCTTTGTGACGATTTTCATTCCCTCAAATGTAATTATATTATAATGTAGTAGGGAGAATAAAAGCATCGAACAGATCGGTTTCTCCCAATTGTTATCATTAATAATGCTCTCTTTTTTTACTCAAATGTTCAGATTATCTTGAATTGTATATCTAACATTGAAGTCACTGCCTAGCTCCATTTCCTCTCATCTGAACAATGTTACCAATCTAACAACATGTTAGCCTGGCCAGACTTGCCATCTTCAGATGCACGAGCGATAATGTATATTTTACATACATGTTATTCGCATGTTGACTATTGTATTGCAATACAATTATTTGTAAAGTGTAGGGCAAAGTTTAAAGTGCGTGGGGAAAACCCAGACACCATAGTTAGAATGTGGGATCAGGGGGATATTTATACAGGGTGTATAAAAAAAAGTCATGATATTTCTATTTTTTCTCTTACAATAATGGGAGAAGGTCTATTCAATCGTATATCACTCATTGTTGACAATTATAGCTTACGTTAGAGTGAGAACTGGCTAATTTCGAGGAAAAAAAATTGATAAGATTTGTTTGCCCCCAAAATGCTTCAGCCTTGAATATGACCAAAGAACAAATCAGGCATCTATTGCATAAGTTCTGTTAAAATATCAATTGATTTGAATTATCATTTGATATTAATATAGCTGTGCACACCCCCAATAGCTTATTGAAAAAAGACAAAAGAGAGGGGCGGCATATAATCTCCCGAAGAGTCCCGAGACAGGGGTGCAGTAAGTGTATCTTGGCAGCCACCTTTTGTACTTCCATAAGCAAGTTTCACTGTCTTTCGCGGTCCTTCATGAAGAAGCTATACTATTAAAGCTTCACCCAATGCTAGATACGCCACTGCCAAATCACCACCACCTCTATCATTGCAGATGATGTCTTTCCAGCTCTGATTCATGCGCATATTGATCAGTAGCCTTTTCGTCTCGACATTGTTTGAATGATTAAATACAATGTTGCTCATAAAGTTGGAATATTTTAGTTTTATATATGTAGTTTTATAGTTTTACCTCAATTTATGGAATTATTTTGACAATGATTTATTCCTAATAGATCTAGATTTAGAGTATAAGGATTAAGAGTATAGAGAACGGTACAACGCATCGTTTTCTTTCTCTAATAATAAAACGTCAAAGCCTCGCGCAGGAGGGTATGAGGGGGGGGGGGGGACTGAATTCAGACGATGATTCAGAGGCGAGAACGGTAATACGAATCTTTAATGAAACGTAAAAGCTTCGGCGCTTCGCGCGGGATGGAGGGGAACTAAATCCCGATGAGGATTATTTTCGAGAACGGTACAACGAATCGTCTTCTCCTCAAATGATAAATGAAGATTAAAAGCTTCCGCTTTGCTCGGGAGGAGGGAACCTGAATTCAGACGAGGATAAAGGGTCGAGAACTGTACAACGAATCGTTTTCTTTCTCTAATGATTTAATGAAACGTAAACCTTCCGCGCTTCGCGCGGGAGGAGGGGGGGGGGGGGGAACTGAAATCAGACGAGGATAAAGGGTCGAGAACGGTACAACGAATCGTCTTCTTTCTTTAATAGTTTAATAAAACGTCAAAGCTTCCGCGCTTCGCGCAGGAGGGGGAGGGGAGGACTGAATTTAGACAAGGATTAAGAGTATAGAGAACGGTACAACGCATCGTTTTCTTTCTCTAATTATAAAATGTCAAAGCCTCGCGCAGGAGGGTATGGGGGGGGGGGGGACTGAATTCAGACGAGGATTCAGAGGCGAGAACGGTAATACGAATCTTTAATGATTTAATGAAACGTAAAAGCTTCGGCGCTTCGCGCGGGATGGAGGGGGAACTAAATTCCGATGAGGATTATTTTCGAGAACGGTACAACGAATCGTCTTCTCCTCAAATGATTAAATGAAGATTAAAAGCTTCTGCTTTGCGCGAGGAGGAGGGAACCTGAATTCAGACGAGGATAAAGGGTCGAGAACTGTACAACGAATCGTTTTCTTTCTTTAATAGTTTAATAAAACGTCAAAGCTTCCGCGCTTCGCGCAGGAGGGGGAGGGGAGGACTGAATTTAGACAAGGATTAAGAGTCGAGAACTGTACAACGAATCGTTTTCTTCCTCTAATGATTTAATGAAACGTAAACCTTCCGCGCTTCGCGCGGGAGGAGGGGGGGGGGGAACTGAAATCACACGAGGATAAAGGTCGAGAACGGTACAACGAATCGTCTTCTTTCTTTAATAGTTTAATAAAACGTCAAAGCTTCCGCGCTTCGCGCAGGAGGGGGAGGGGAGGACTGAATTTAGACAAGGATTAAGAGTCGAGAACTGTACAACGAATCGTTTTCTTCCTCTAATGATTTAATGAAACGTAAACCCTTCCGCGCTTCGCGCGGGAAGGGGAGGGGGAGGGGGAACTGAATTCAGACGAGGATAAAGGGTCACGAACGGTACAACGAATCGTCTTCTTTCTTTAATAGTTTAATAAAACGTCAAAGCTTCCGCGCTTCGCGCAGGAGGGTGAGGGGAGGAGGGGGGGGGGACTGAATTTAAACAAGGATTAAGAGTCGAGAACAGTACAACGAATCGTCTTTTTTATCTAATAATTTAATGAATCGTAAAAGCTTCCGCGCTTCGCGCGGTATGGGGGAACCTGAATTCAGAAGAGGATTAAGAGTTGAGAACTCTACAAAGAATCGCCTTCGTTCTCTAATAATTTAATAAATTGTAAAATTTTTCCACGCTTCGCGCGGGAGGGGAAAAACTAAATTCAGACGAGAAATTATTTCGAGAACGGTAAAACGAATCGTCTTCTTTATCTAATAATATAATGAAACGTCAAAGCTTGGGAGGGGGAAATCCCCCCCCCCCCGCATTACGTCACTGTTGGTCACCATTACGTACCAATATATGGCTCGCATAATTTCAAATTTGGCCCCCCCCCCTAAGAAATCCTGGATCCGCGCCTGAATATACCACATCGACACGGTTTTGAAGATTTGTTTCTGTTTGGGACCGGGAGGAAATTCAATGAATTATTTATAATTACTGCATTTTTTCCCCTCTTTTGTATTTTTGGACGGGGAGGGGGGCGGGAAGTGAACGCTCCTTATTTCGACCCCCCCCCCCCTCCACTTGAGCGAAAAACATAAATCACATATTTTACTTTTTTTGGGGGGGGGGCGGGACCGTGGGCCCCTGTCGATCCGCCCCTGCGTGTGTATGTGTGTGTGGTGTGTGTGTTTGTGGGGGGGGGGGGGGGGGGTAGGGGTGCACGATCGACTGCAGATGTAAGGCCAAAGATCAACTGATGGGTCGAATTAATTATTGATAACTATAATTGATGTCTGACATGAATTAGCTTTGCTCCAATACAAATATGATTTTTTTTTTTCACAAACCATAATTTGTTGCGAATTGTTCGAAACTAACCACTGTTCTCTCAAGCGTAAACTGTCGTCAACAGTTTAGCGTCTTCCGATTGAATAAACTCTCACCCATAATTTCTCATAAGAAAAAATAATGCAGACATTGCGAAATTATAATTTTGGAAGATATTTAAAAAGTGTGTATTTTTTCTGGTGCACACTGTACTTTATAGCGATTCCACTCCACGCCAGTGCATACAATTGTCTTTTTTCTTTACGCGTCTGCGCCATTTTATACGTGTATACTTTTGAAGGTGTACATGCATTCTTTTAAATATATAAGGACATCCGAAGGCCTGCATTTGAATTGCCATTGAGTGTACACAAGCATCAACATTTGTCAAGACAAATGCCATGTTCCGTATAGTGTGAAATTAAACTGTGCACAAGTTTGACATACATTTGAAATATCAAAACTTTGATTCAGCAGTTTGGACAATTTTCCTCGTTCATTTGATATGGGCGGATCCATTCAATAACACACACTGTCGACTGCAGGTGGCTGGTACTGGTTGCGTTCTTTTGATTTGGCCGAACCATTAGACCTACGCGTACGTTGGTGGAAATACATTGATTAATCTGCGTCATGGCGGAAAAGACAGAAGACGCTGCTTCTCAAAATATATTGTGTCCTTTGTGCCTGGACGTGTTTGATAATGCTTCCATGTTGATATGTGGACATACGTTCTGCAAGCAGTGTTTAGAGAGGTATGATGCCGCCCATCGAGACCTAGATCACATGGTGTGTCCTCTCTGCATGAAAGTCACCAAGTTGGATAAAAGTCGAGTCACTGGTCTACCCACAAACTTCACCGTCAAGGGCTTGGTAGACGAGTACCACAACTTTCATGGTGGGATAAATGCTGTTCTGGAGGGTCAACCGAAGTGCACTGCTTGTGATCTCCAGGGAGATGCTGTATCCTTCTGCTACGAGTGTGGAAATTACATGTGCGCCAAGTGTGACCATGGTCACAGTCAAATGACATCGCTCTTCCAGGAACATCAGGTTGTGTCCATGAAAGACGTCGTTGAAGGAACTGCCAGTATCGGGCAAGTCACAGACAAGTGTTCGGTGCACAAGCCCGGCAAAAAGGAACTTTTTTGCGAAGATTGCAAAGTATATATATGTCTGATGTGCACGGTCCTTAATCATCGTGATCACAAAATCAAACATCAGGCCGACCTCGAGAAGGAGATACGGGAGAAGGTGGATGATATCATCAAGCGCAGTAACGACAAAAAATCCGAGTTCGAGAAACATATCCAGGACATTGAATCCAAACGCAAAGAAATCGACACCGCTATCCAAAAGCTGGAAGGTAACATAAAAGAGGCGTTTGCGGAAAAACTAGACAAACTGAAAGAGAATGAACGAATGCTTATCACAGAAACACAGCTACTGCGAGAGAATTGTGGCAAAGAACTGGATGCCTTGAAGTCCGGTCATCGACAGAAGATCAAGGCTATTTCAAGCTCTGTGAGCCTCGTGGCCAAAGGAAGGTTGAGACATTTAGAGAAAGACAGTCTGACAGCGCACTCATTAATCTCAAACGACCTGGAAGGTCTCTTGGAGGAAGCTATTGTTGAGGATTCTGTAACCGACTTAATGACACGTACCTCCACGACACTGTTTATACCGGCAGGAGATACACTTCTTGATCTTGGTCGTGTGTGTCAAGTCCTTGTATGGCAATAGGAAAAGTGGTGGACCTACCAATTCCAATGACTGGCATAACACGGATATCTGAGGATTCGATTCTTGTTGGATATGGTGGTAACAGGGCCGATGCAGATAAAGTTGAAATCAATGGAAGCGTGCAAAAATGTACACAAACAAATATGTGTCTCTATGACATCGCCCATCAAAGCAACTCAACGATTGTGGTGTCGAGAGAGCAAAGAAAAATAAGATTTTCAGTGCTAAAGACTGGTCCTCGACATCAGAAAAAACGATATCAAATGAAACAGGATCTTCATCCCCATATTTAACTGTTAGCTCTGAGAATGAAATCATAGTGGCGAACAGAAATGATCGGATTCATATCTTTGATCCTACTGGAAGCACGAGAAAGCACTCATTTGCAACAGTGGAAAAACCATTCCAAGCCCTCGCAACCAAGTCAGGTGTGATCATCTCAAGTTCTTGCCACAATACTCCCAGCAGAGTACGAGTCTATGGCAGAGATGGGAAATTGGGTGATTCTATATCGGCCAAAGAGGGGGAACATCTCTACCCAGCAGTAGATGAGGAGGACAGGGTGTTCTTTTAAGTGTCAATCAGCCAGCTGGTAGAATACAAATCACTCTCTACCGTCCCGAAGGTTTGAAGCTCAGGAAAGCAATAGAGTTTGAGGAGCTTGAACTAACACTGAGTAATACATGGTGTTACCTAGTGTCTCTATCGCGCGATACACTTGCATTCGCTTGTGGTAAAAAGGTGTATTTCCTTACCATTCCATGGCTTGGAGCAGTCCCTGTGGCTGCAGAAGAATCTGAAATCAAAAGCCAGAGTTATCTTTAAGTTTGTCCCCCCCCCCCCCCCCCCCCCCCATGATAGCAGTCTCATGGCGTCTGATAGTATTATTTTTCGTCTAGATGCTAGTGTTAATCTAGTACATGTACAAAATATTATATTCGAGAGCATTAAGCTTGTTTGTATTGGAGTAGTTATCGCAAGTACAAAAACATGTATTTCTTTTCAACCATTTAAAGGTCATTGCGATTTTAAGTAGTTAACATCTGTTCCGTATTCCCCCCTCAGATAGTGGCGGAAATATAGATACCACTCAATTTTGTGCATGTCATTATCTGGTAATAATTTGTTGTTTGTGTAAGTTTGAGTTATAATTATTCCGCGCATTCTTATATTTGATAACTATACACAGTCGTTCAACGTTAGTACAAAGCAAAAATACTTTTCTTTTATTCATAGGTTGTTATTAATTATTGATTTTTCATGAAGTACCCTGGATATTGAATGAGGTCAACCTTGAAAAGCTTTTGTTTGTTGGCTCCATTTACCAAATATCTAGTTGTCAAGGTGAAATACATCATATTTTGAAAATGTTTAATGGTTAAATAAAATAAATGAAGGAATGGAAATAACGTACCATACACACAGACTGCAACTCTTGTTAAATACGCTTTCACATTCTGCAGTGATTTTCACCGCTACTTTTTATTTGTTTGTGAATATACTTTCAGCGTCTACAATATGAGATTTGAAAGTTACTTATGTTCAGATGTAAAGAAATTATGTATATTAGAGTTGAGTTGTATTTAGTTAAACATCATGAACATTATTTATTCAGTTTAGAAATTAGAAAATGACCACATCATAGAAAAATAACAAAAGATAGGATATTGTGTACATCTGATCAGCAGTATCAAGTAACCAAATTAATTATTTATTTGCTTCCAGTTACTTGTTGTACTTTCAGAGTTCTCAGATAATATGTATGAGTAGATATGATTCAAGAGTATAATAACCAAAATATTACAGAAGAAGGAGTTGAATCCTATTCAACAAGTAGTTTGTGAGGCGACTGATGCCTGGATGATTATTTTGTACAGCAGCTGCATGCGTTTTGTAAATCCATGTACTATTATAGTTATTGTTTTACAGTTGTCCAAATTCTATTCTGCATTGGTATTTTTAATTTGGTGTCTTGATCAACGATGGTTGTGTGCATTGCATTTTCAAAGAATGAAATGGAATGTACTAGCCACTTGAATTCATTTTGAAACACTAATTTACTGCTTTGAGAAGCTCACTTTAAAAAACAGACCTTCCATAGACCGTTTATATCCAAGGAAAGATAACCATGAAGTCCATTTCATAATTTTGTAGAGGCTGCAATTATTTTGAAATAATATGAATAAACTAGTTTTGTTTTCTTCAAAAGATTATGTCGACATGATTGAACAGCTGTATAAAGCCAGTGTCGGCTTGAACGTGTGTTGTGGTAATGACGGGTCAAATACAGGTTTGTTGCAGATTCACAGATAAGACTATACTGTTCAGATGGTCTGTTACAGGTGGTTTGTTCAGATTTCGTGATAATTAATCAATCAGAGGATAGGAAGGGAGAACCGGTTCGAGGAAAGGATTGTGGGGCAAAAATAAGAAGGGAATATATGAGAGAGAGAGAGAGAGAGAGAGAGAGAGAGAGAGGGGGGGGGTAGAGTGAGAGGAAATAGCATGGCAGGAAGATAATGAGAGAGAATGATGAAAACACTGGCAAGAGCGTCAGAGACAAATTGAGAGAGAGAATTTGAGAGAGAGAGAGAGAGAGGGGGGGGGGGTGAGTTCAATGAAATAGTAGGCCTTTTAGAGGAAGATGGTTATGGTGAGTGAGAGAGAGAGAGAGGGGGGGGGGAGGGGGAAATAAGTGAGAGGAAACGATAGGCCTACTATAGAAAAAGAAGTGTGTGAGAGAAAGAGAGAGCGAGAGAGGATCGAGTGAGAGGAAATAGCAATATAAGAGGAGATTGATAATATGTATGCATATATTTGTGTTGCGTGTGTGGGTGTGTGTTAGAGAGAGAGAGAGAGAACAGAGAGGGGAGATAGTATGCATATTTTTTTCTTTCTTTTCTTCTTTTTTTTAGTGCAGTTACCGAACCTAAACAGAATGATTTTTAGAATGTTCCATTAGTGGCGTTTCGTAGCGTGGGCTCAGTCAGTCCTAAGTCTACTAGATCAGCTTTTTTTCTTCTCACTTTTCAATCACGGCTTCTTTCAAGGCGAGGAATACAAGAGTCCACTAGCAAACTCCGAAGCCAGTGTGCGATGTCACTGTGCGACACCCTCTAACAGTAAATTCTCCCAACCCTTTTTGAATTTTCTCAACCGTTTTTCCATGAAAATTAGTCATAAAAAAGGGTCTTAAAATTTGTTCAACACTCAAATGTCTGGAATGGTATATAGAGCCAATTCATTGCTTTGTGACGATTTTCATTCCCTTAAATGTAATTAAATTATAATAATATAAATGTAGTATATAGGGAGAATAAAAGAATCGAACAATCGGTTTCCCCCAATTGTTATCATTAATAATGCTCTCTTTTTTTACTCAAATGTTCAGATTATCTTGAATTGTCTATCTAACATTGAAGTGAAGTCATGCCTAGCTCCATTTTCTCTCATCTGAACAATGTTACCAATCTAACAACATGTTAGCCTGGCCAGACTTGCCATCTTCAGATGCACGAGCGATAATGTATATTTTACATACATGTTATTCGCATGTTGACTATTGTATTGCAATACAATTATTTGTAAAGTGTAGGGCAAAGTTTAAAGTGCGTGGGGAAAACCCAGACACCATAGTTAGAATGTGGGATATTTATACAGGGTGTATAAAAAAAAGTCATGATATTTCTATTTTTTCTCTACAATAATGGGAGAAGGTCTATTCAATCGTAAATCACTCATTGTTGACAATTATAGCTTACGGTCGAGTGAGAACTGGCTAATTTCGAGGAAAAAAAATGATAAGGTTTGTTTGCCCCCAAAATGCTTCAGCCTTGAATATGACCAAAGAACAAATCAGGCATCTATTGCATAAGTTCTGTTAAAATATCAATTGATTTGAATTATCATTTGATATTAATATAGCTGTGCACACCCCCAATAGCTTATTGAAAAAAGACAAAAGAGAGGGGCGGCATATAATCTCCCGAAGAGTCCCGAGACAGGGGTGCAGTAAGTGTATCTTGGCAGCCACCTTTTTGTACTTCCATAAGCAAGTTTCACTGTCTTTCGCGGTCCTTCATGAAGAAGCTATACTATTAAAGCTTCACCCAATGCTAGATACGCCACTGCCAAATCACCACCACCTCTATCATTGCAGATGATGTCTTTCCAGCTCTGATTCATGCGCATATTGATCAGTAGCCTTTTCGTCTCGACATTGTTTGAATGATTAAATACAATGTTGCTCATAAAGTTGGAATATTTTAGTTTATATATATAGTTTTTATAGTTTTACCTCAATTTAAGGAATTTTTTGACAATGATTTATTCTTAATAGATCTAGATAATAGTATACATTCTCATATTTTATTGAATAAGAATTTGCCAGGTTTGTTTTGAGTGACTGCTAAAGCATGTGTATGCTAATATGCTTATCAACTAGGGGACCTACGCCCTTAAATCATAAATGACAGTAATGAGGATCAATGCCCCCAACAAGGGCACTAATATACCCAGGCGCGGATCCAGGGGGGGGGGGGGGGCCGAGTGGGCTTTGCCCCTCCCCCCCCCCGCAAAAAAAAAAAAAAAAAAAAAAAAGAGAAGAAAGGAAAAGAAGGAAAGGGAAAAAGGAGAAAAAGGGAAAGAAAGAAGAGGAAGAAGAAAAGAAAAGGGGAAGACGGAGATCGGGGGCCGAAAGAGCCTTGCCTCCCTGGCTGTTAAACCCCCCCCCCCCCCCTCAATCAAAAAAAAAAGAGAGAAGGAAGGAAAGGGAAAGAAAAAAGGAAAAAAGAGGAGATACTGGCGTACTGATAAAGGGGGGGGGGGGGGGCTTGGGGGAAATCAAAATCAAACGTGGTTTATTTCTAATTCCACAACAGTGAATTACAAATAATGCTGAAATGACATGATTTCCGAAATTTTTCCTGACTTTTTAGTAAATATACGTTTGTATGTGTTTGTTGGAAAATGACAAATTCCTAAATTTACAGCCAGGCAAAAAATATGATTCTTGAAATTCCTACATGTCAGGGCCCGAGGTAAGGCGGGGATCGAGAGCCTCGAGCCCCCCCCCCCCCACTATTCTTGAAAAAGTATATTAAAGAGAAATAAAATAGAATGAGAGCAAGAAAGTAAGAATAGTTAACTGCCAGTGTTAAAGTTGAAATTCAAAGAAAATCCCAAATATGTCAACTAATGTATGACTAGAAACTGGTAATCTAACAGATGGCCATCGTACAAGTTATAGGTCAACTACATATCGGGTGATTTATAAAAAAATACAAATACAACCACCTCCATAGCAGCAGGGATATACCAGAGATTCGCCGGAAAAATAACGATGTTTTAATGACGTCACTATATGGACCAACACTGCCCAAGCAGACGACATCCCATAGAGAATGAACATAATTGCAAAGCTATTATTTGTCAAATTATAATGAGTTTAGTGTATATAAATGTAATGGCATGTCAAACTATTCAAAAGGGGATATGACCCGATTCTGATAACTAAAATCTTTTGCTTGTAAATACACAGGATTGGGGTTAATTAACAATCAAAGAAACCAGACTTTCAAATTGAAAACCCCCTGGAATGATATTAAGGACGGCATTTGTTCCCTCTTGAAACGCCGAACATACCCCGATGTGTGCAGCTGAATATACAATGGCGTCTTATTTTGTTTACAAGCGACAGATTCCTTTATTTTGTATCGCTGCATTTGTCATCAAAATAAAACCATGCGCGGGGTTAAGAGTGAGGCAATAGATTATACATTTAGCCTGACGGTAGTGAAGTAAGAGAAAGGACTCAAGAAAAGATGAAAACATAGGCACTGAAAATGT